TCATGTGGATCTGACTAGAATTTACGTCGGATGTCAGCTATCTACCACAAGCTTCATCTTTAATTTCGACTTTTTAGTGATGATGAAAATATAAATACAATACATCTAGTGAATAACATACACACGAACAAAAACATGCTGGATGAATTGAAAGACATAATATCATTTGTACGAGAAGATTCTTGCATCGCTCTCAGTTAGCATTAAAAAGACTGGCAGGATGGGGGGAGAAAAAAAAAGAAAAAACAACACTTGAGGTTCTTCATGATCAGCCTCCCATATATATGATATAACCCCGGCCGTAAGGCTCAGCAAACGCTCGCACGTGTCAGAACGGACACGCACGATGGCGACGGGACGGACGGATGAGGTTCCTCGATCCCGAAGTGCTGCACACGTGTATTCACGATTGCTCCAATAATGCAAGCTCAGCCCATCTCCATCCCCTTCCCCTTCCATCAGAGATCAAGTAGCGAAAGGATAGCTCCAGGTCACTTGCTTTACTGAGGACCGTATAGAGCCATCTGCGTGCTGGTGCAGCCAATTAGAGGTCGACACGCGGGCGATTTTGGTGGTCCCGATGAAAGGTGGGCTTTGATCATTTCAGAGTGAGCTCAAGCCTAGGTGTGGGCATATATCATATATGGCTGTTGAGGCTTCGAAGGGATAAAGGAGCGAGGTTAGTTTGATGGTTGAGTTGTTATATCCAGGTAAGGTTACATATGTGGGCAATAATATGGGAGCCTACGTAACCTGCCCTAATTGTTCTAGTTTTTGTTTTGTTTTGGGTAAAAACTACAGTTTTAGATACCAGAGTTTGTCCGATATCGCACAAAAATAACCGAAGTTTAAAACCATACACCGAGGGACACAAAGTTTTTAAAAGTTACAGTTTGATGCCCAATGCCAGTGCAAACGCGAGAATTTCTCCCCAGAAATTCTCATGTGACACTTCTCACGTGACACTTAGTTGCTGTTTTTAAAACATTTTAATCCTTTTTTTTATTAAATCTATTATCAAACTGCTCATAATCCTATACTTTAAATCTACCTAAAATAGCACGTGAGTGTTGTATGAGTATTTCCGGGTCAAAAACATCAAATTGGATAGAAAAATGATACAGGCACACCCTCAGACACACCACCAACCACACCTTCTCTCTATCTACAGTGCAGAGGACCCCACATCAGATTTTTTTAAAAAATCTGATGTGAGGTCCCCTGCACTGTAGATAGAGAGAAGGTGTGGTTGGTGGTGTGTCTGAGGGTGTGCCTGTAGCGCGTCTCAATTGGATATTAAAGTGCAACTTTTAGAAGCTTTGAATATTTAAGTGTAGGGTTTTGAACATTGAGTATTTCGGTGCAGTATCAGGCAAACTTTAGGTGTTTAAGTGTAATTGACCCTTTTTCTTGGAATGATGAAATAATAATTAATGTCATTACAACTTAATATAGATGTCTACGGTTAGGCCTGTCCATCCGGGCCGGCTCGGCCCGGAAATCCGGGCCCGGGCCGGGCAAAACCGGGACCCGGACCCGGACCCGGGTACCCCGGGCCGGGTCCGGGCCCGGGCCCGACCGGGTACAAATAAGAAATGATAAAAACATATTCTTTATTAATAATTGATAAATCAGTTACAAATTACAAGTACAAATTTATTTTGGAATTAATCGCATCACAATAGATAAGTAAATCCCAACTAGGTTGGCACCTACTCACCTATATCACTATCATTTGCAATTATTTCCAAAATAATTCTTTACAAATTGTAAGCTAAGATATAAAAACTACAATCTATTCTTTATATCTATCTGCTAGTCCCAATTCTTCAAATTTATCTTCAATTCCAGCCATCCGATCGATGCCTTGCGTTCGCTTCTCGTACCTCCACCAATCTTGTAGGCACATCACCGCTTGTACAGTATATGGATCCAAGCATGTCCTGTGATCGTCGATCAAACGACCTGCTGTGCTGAAGGCGGATTCCGAAGCTACCGTCGAAACCTGCACTGTTAGTAAGTCACGAACCATGGTGGAAAGTATAGGATATGAAACTGATCCATATACTTTCCACCATTGCAAAATATCTAAAGCATTTCCTTGACATCTAACTAAAGAAGCAGAAAAATATTCATCTATTTCAGAAACCTCCGATGATGACGATCCAAGTCCAGATCCACCAGTTAGCTCGGCTACCATTGCATACCTATCAAAACTTACACTTTTACCTCGGGCTCGGGATGAGCTCGAAGAAACCGAAGCTGCAGACTGTTGTGCAGCTACACCATGTCTAGCTGCATACTCATCATATAAAGTTTGAAAATAATTTCTAATAAGTAAATGATGAGTAGTAGCATTCAGGGTGGTTCCATCATCTAAGTCTATAACCTGTCCACCATACAATGACTGTAACAAACTTCGAAGGCCAATATCCTTCAAGCATGGATCAATAAGAACCCCCAAACCAAAAATATGAGGAATAGGCCTAAAATACTTATTAAATTTGCTCTCCATTTCAAAAACCATAGGTCCAAAAGTAGCATCCAAACGATATTTATCAAAAAAATTTTGAATATTTAAAATTTGTAAAGCAGCTAAAGTAATGGTTGGATAATAACAGCCAGATAATAACATGGTAGCATCATAAAAAACTTGTAACATTTCATTTAAATTACATATAACTGTCCATTCATCTTCAGTTATTCCATAAGTGCTACCAGAACTAGAACTAGAAGCATAATAGTTTATAAAATCAGTTATAATGTCTTTATATTCTATTGCTACACTTAACATTGCATATGTGGAATTCCACCTATGGTCAACATCTTTTGGAATTAGTCTAGGCTTTACATTTTTTCTTTTACAAAATTGTTTCCATCTTTTAAGTCTTTGTTCAGAAGCACTATGCATGTAAGCAACTGTTCTAACCTTTTCTATCATGGGTTTAATTTCAGTAAATGCACTTTGAACAATTAAATTTAAAATATGACAGATGCACCTAATATGAAAAAGATCACCATGACATGGCAATGATAAAGATGATCTGATAAAATCAACAGCTACATTGTTATTACTTGCATTATCTAGTGAAAGAGAAAATATTCTTTCTGAAATTTCTAATTTCATAAGTTCTTCAATTATTAAATTTACAACATTAGCACCAGTATGTGACTCTTCTATTGCAATAAAAGAAACAACTCTTTTAAACATTTACCAATTTTCATCAATCCAGTGTGCTGTGATACATAAATATCCAGTTTGTGCTCTAGATGTCCAAATATCAGAAGTTAAAGAAAATTTACAGTTTAAATTTTTAAAATAAGAAACTATTTTTTCTTGTTCTTGCTGATAATATTTTAAAATATCACGTTGACAGGTTTGACGAGAAAATTTTTTAAATGCAGGATAAAAACCATCTCTAAACATATCTTCAAATTCATCATCTTCTACTAATTTAAAAGGAAGGTTTTTAAGAATGATAAACCTGATTACGCATTTCCTGGCTCTGGCAGCGTCATAGTTCCAACTACCGAGACTACCAGAAGAGGAGGATTGAGAAATCATAGATTGCCGGATATCACCTTGAGGAGTCTGGCCTTTGTTGTGTTTATCTAAATGGCGTTTGAGGTGGTTGGTGCCGCTCTTATGATGAGCTTGAAAAATCTTGCCGCACAAAGCACACTTAGCCTTCTGGGTGAGGATCCTACCGTGTTCATCCTTGGTGACGTCGATCTTCTCATAAAAATTCCACACATCGGATCTTGGCCGTTTAGGAGCTCTTGGTGCAGATTCGTCGCCACCGGATTCGGGATTAACTTCGGTAGGAGGACTTATAGTAGGAGGACTCATAGTAGGAGGACTCATTTCAGGATCAGGAAAAATGTTTTGCTCTTCATAATCAGATCCGGAAACCATTTGATGAAAGGATTAGAATGTATAAATAAGAGAGTATAAGAGAGAGTATAAGAGTATAAGAGAGAAGAGATGAGTTTTTGGTGTGAAGAAAACAAATGAAAACCCCCCTCTATTTATAGAACCAGCCCCCTAGGTAAATGACCAAAATAACCTCACAAAATAGCCGTTTTTTACCGTTTTTGGGGGCAAAACGGTCAAAGGGCCAATCTGGCCGTTGTTACCGGGCCGGGCTGGTCCGGTCGTTTTCACACAACGGTCACCAATGGTGACCGTTGTGGCCTGCCACACGGGCCGGGCTCCGGGCTGCCCGGCCCGGATGATGCCCGGCGCCGTACTGTTCCGGACCGGGCCGGGCCCGGGCCGGGAGCCGCTGAGGCAACCCGGGCCCGGAACCCGGCCTGGCCCGAATTTCCGAGCCGAGGCCGGGCCGGGCCCGGGCCAGCGGGTAAAATGGACAGCCCTATCTACAGTGCTACTACAGGGACCCGAAAATGGGACAGACAGAGGAGACATGTGAGGTGTCCCCCTCTATCTGTCCCATTTCGGGTCTTTGAGGCATTTTTGAAATGTATATTCTCTCCCTAAGCACTTGCACATATGTTCAACGCCGCATCAGATGACAAAGGCAAAGCTGCGCTTGGAATCATCAACTAAACAACTAGGGCATAAAAGATAAAATATTCTAACTATCATCACAAAACGTCGAGTGTTTAATTTCCATCTGATATTCCCATGGAATAGACCCAGCCATCTAGATTTGAGACAACCATTGTTGTCACCCTACATCTCCTACAAAGTTTTACACAAACAAAAGAAGAAGAATACTTCAAATAAAAATGATTTTAAGACCACAATTTACAAGGACGCATCTCCTTATCAAATATGCTGCTGCTGCTTACGCATCAATGAAAACAGAAACAAACACTTGCAAATTACAAGGATTCATCTCTTATCGCATACATTCATCACTTTTTGTGACCAGAATCTACATCATTAACCCACACTTCGAAAAGCGATTCAAAGAAAAGATCACTACTCCTGCATTATCAAGTGAGGCAATCTAACAATTGTAACTCTCTTCGCCTATCCAACCATGATGTTATATGCAAGCCAAAACAGAGTACAACTTCATTTTCCAAATTGTCAACACACCTCATAAAACATAACCAAACATGACAATAATTAATATGTACAATGAATACTAGGCAGTCTGCACACACAAATACAAAAAAAAGTTTCAAAATTCAATAACCTTCCTACCAATTGCCTGAGCTTACGGCTAGGAAAAGAATTAAAAATGCCATTGAGGCTTATTATGACCGCCAATTCTATAGAAGGGGTGTTTAAAGTTAGGCTAATATCACTCTGCATTACCAAATCTCTCTGCAATAATAGGACGAACGTCATCAGCATCAACAAGAGTTTCAAGAAAAGGAAGCAACGAGATGAGTGCTTGATCTGATGGGTCATCAAACCAACTCGTGATAGGTATTCCGTTATTTACTTGCAACCGGAAAACCTGTAATCGCAAATGAAGAAAGCAATAAAGATTTGACTTTTTAGAGGTTTAAGCATCATCTTGCATTTTAATAGATGACATATCAACAACAAAGCATTTATCCAAAATTTTCGTGGTTTGCTACATGAATCCTACTCATTCATTCAATTCTGATGAGGGTTATCTCAATCAAGTTAACCATTATCATATCCTTCTTAACTTTTGTTAACTTCTAAGCAAGTTATCTTATACTTGCATCTAGTCCCCGTTAATTATAGGACAAATTTCACTTAACCCCCTCAAGTTTGAGAGGTTTTGCACATAACCCTCCTGAACTTTGTTTATTCCACTTAACTCCACTGACTTTTGGCTGTCTCACTTACTGCAACACCCCCCACCCACACAAAAAAAAACACACACACAAACTTTGAAGTTTTCCAGTACAAGCCCTTGACATTGTTAACTGTTAGTGGTGAATGACCAAATGCCCTTTCTGAAATATAAACCCCCAAAAATGATAAAATAATAAAATTTACCCTGAATTGTAATCTCAGCTCATCAGTCATCACTTCTCTTGATTAGTGCATTTAATGGTCTCCGTTGCATTTAAAATAAATAGTGAATAAGGAGGAATAGAACCTGTGGCGAGTTGTCAACTATCAAGACTTTTGCGAGGTCAACTCCTAAAACAGTAAGATCTTTGGTGTAGTTGCCATCGGAGAATATACAAGATTCACGATACATTCGCTTAGAGAATAGATTCCTGTTGGGATCTAGAATATCGAGCAGCTGTTCAGCATAAATGCTCTGGCTGGCTGTGAAGATTACGACCTCAAACATGTGAGAGACTCTCTCAAGGAATGTTTGAAGGTGGGGTCGTCTTTTCACGTACACAGTGTGCTGCTTCATGTTAAAGAAAACTTGGAAACTGAAGTCTGCATCTCCACAATACTCTAAGGTGGAATGGACAAGAGTTTCTGCACAGAATATCAGAGTGAACTTCAGAGATATCTGTTGTAGTATTAATTTGCAAAAATGGTCATAATTTAATTTAGCTTAGAAGGAAACTCCAAAAACAGTAGCTTCAAAGAATCTTCTCAAGAAACATATACAAGAATAAAAGCAAAGACACACATAAAACCTTGAAATTATTTAGAACAAACTTAAAGGTCATTTGAAGGTAAGTGGCTAATTGCATATGAACTATCAATGCTAGCACATTAAGTCACTGCAATAAGGTCCTGAAAAATCTAAGGAAAACTTGAATTAGAAAAGAATGACATATTGATGTGGATGATATAGGAGAACGTTTTAATTATCAGCCTCAGGGAATGGCTGATATGGCAATAAAAGAGAGGATTTTAAGCAAGTAGATATGGTTATACTTCATATGATGCTTTGGAGCATGAGATCATTTTATTCATAATCCAACTTTGTTTTTGCGATTAGTTACTACTTACTGTAATCTCTTTCATACTATGTGGTCATGTTTCTTTCATCTCTGGTCTTCATAACATCGCAAGTTTATGACAAACAATCACATGCTGCATCTTTAAACTTTCCAATGTACAATAAGTATAGTCAACAGATACATATTTCTGTGTGCAAACAAGATAGTCAACAAATTTCTCATTGTGTGTAACATCTTTAACGTTGTCAGTTTAACTTCACAGAAGGGTTAAGATTCACCCAGACATTAATTCATTAAATCTGCAAAACTGCTTAAAAATATCATAGGCAAAATAGACTCAAGAAAATAAATATCTGCAGTATAGTGATAACAACAACTACAAAGATAACATTTTGTTTAAAATGGATTGCAGTGACGTTTTATATTTACAGATAAATATTTACTAATCTGTTTCCAGTCTTATAATTGTAACAATATGTCAAACCATATTGCTTTGTCAGCTGATTACATGTACTGGCTAAATACATCAGAAGGATTAGGCTCAAATGCAATCAACACCTTAAGGACCTAATTGTGGATGACACATTTTAAATGAAGAAATATGAGATGGGGCTAATGCAGAGAACTGTGAAAGAGCATAACTCCTTTCAGATGTTTCTACGATAGACTATTGTTGAGCGCTGAGAACAATCACAAGTAACAATTATACAGATTTTTACAGAACATCACGATATAGTTTTGACAATACAGACAGATAAAAGGATAAAGGTTATAACATTGAATAGTAGTCTAAAATGAAAATTTTGTGAAGGTGCTACTATAGAGAACCAGACATGGAAGTACAGCATGTAGATAGTGAGCATCATCACTCTATGTTATCTTAATGATCACTTCAGGTGATGTTAACAGTCACTATACTTGACAGAAAGACACTCAACGAACCAATATTCTTATAGTAGATGACAACAGTATCATCCAAGGTGAAAATCAACTTTATGCATAGCAGTTATTAAATTTTATACTTTCAGCCAAAAATGTAATTTTACTTTTACTGAACAGGTTTAGCGAACTAAATCTGTCAACAAATCCTCTTCTCTTGTAAATTGTAATATAACACATATTCTTATAACAGTAATCTTCTTTAGAAGCATACCTTATGAATTTATAAAGTTGTGAGAAAAGGTGAAACCAAGGTTGCTTAGGTACAAGTACGCATATGGACACGGGTACGGGACACGGCAAATTTGTAAAAAGTAGGAACGGCTCACTATTAGATATATATATATATATATATATATATATATATATATATATATATATATATAGATATATAGAGAGAGAGGAGAGAGAGGAGAGAGAAATATGGATTATGCTTGGCTACAAGCCACCAAATTTGAGTGCTTTGGTAGTGAGTGTTCCCTTTCCCATTCACTCATTACAATTTCAACCACTCCCAACCCATGTGGCAGTGTGTGCCGATTTCAATGAGTGGCATGAGAAAGTGACAACTCACTACCAAGCACCTTTTTTGTGCTTTGGCTACCAAGCATACCCATTTTGCTCATATATATATATACTATATATATATATATATTATATATATATAAATAATATATATATATTTATATATATATATATATAAGTAACAATTATATTAACTATAGCAATTTTACTATGTTTAATTTCAAATTGAGAAATAAGCTCATTCCTTAAAAAAAACCTACAAATTGACTTCATATCATCAAGTTAGTGGACTCTTAACTCAAAAAATATAGTGTCACCCACACCAAGATTATGTGACATAAACAAGGTTCAAGGGTCTATGTGAAAAAAACACCAGTCTAGAGGGAGGTGGGCTTTCGTGAGTAAACCAAAAAGCTAGTTGAGCCCAATTAAACAACCCGAATGATACGCTGAATAAATGTTCACAAAACAAATCAACGGCCCAGATCCTCCAATCCTAGAACGAACGCCTCAGATCCACCCCATTCCCACTCCCTATAAATGCCCTTCCTCATTCCTCACCCCAAACCCTAATCCTAGAAAACTCGTCTCCCCTCAAATCCTCCCCTCAAAACCCTAATCTCCCCTTCCCTGCCGGAGCCTCTCAAAACTACCGCCAACATGCGGATCTTTGTCAAAACCCTCACCGGCAAGACCATCTCCCGACCCTCGCCGACGCTTCCCCGACCTCGTCGAAGCTTCCCCAAAGCTTGTCGACGCCTCGTCTTCGATCTCCGAGCTTCCCGACACGTGGGAAATGAGCTGCTCCCGTGTCCCCTCCGTTTGGGTGCGGAAAAAGTACCCAAACCGCACCCGACACGGGTATGGCGCCAAAATTGACGTGTTGGGGTATCATAGAGTGAAACCAATTTCTGAACTATCTAAGAACTAAGAAGTTTAAAACACAAATCATCACTATCCCCAATGCATGAAACCCAAAATTCAAAATAATTAAGTCATGCCCATCATTATAAGAAGTAGCATGACAGAGAAAAACAGTTAATAATAATAATTATGAATGATGTGATTACGACGAAGTTGCCTGGGTTTCTTAAAGATATTCATTCCATTGGAAATTTGGATTAAGATTTAATTACAACTAAGAGTTTGGAGAATTACATATTACTGCTATACCAAAATGCAGCACATATCTCTCGTCCACCACTGCCAGATTGGAATTTCATTAGCTTACACGAAAGTTTTGCATAAATGAAATGGTGTTTTTAATAGATTTAAATACGAAAAACTAATGCAATTTAATACTAGTAGTTCTATTATACTTTAATGCATTCTAAATATGTCAACCAGCATCTCTATGATCACGCATGCCTCTTATCATGAAAATGTAGTTATTGAAAACACATTCCAAACTGTTCTGAAATTTTTTGTGTACAGTTGCCAATATTACACAAACCTAAAGTCTAAATCACTGGCAAGTACTTGGCCAAGGAATATGTATTTTTCATAAATTTCAAGGGCCAAATTATTATAAAAAGAAACTTCATCAAGTTTAATGGGTAACAAAACCTATTTGTGAATGTGCAATTTTAATGTTTCAGGTTCTTGCACCAACTCTCAAACTTAAAAAGACAGTACAGAAGAAGAGGAACAATACGTTATTGGAAATTAGAGCAACATTTTCTAAAAGTCTCACTGTTACTATTATTAATCCTGATGGACAATGTTACATTAAACGCTGGGCGTTTCTAGGCGTCAGACTTGACGCCCAGCGTTTAATCGCCTAGGCGGGCGCTTAAGTAGTTTCTGGCTGTTTTTTTTAATTGTGATACTTGAAGATAAATATATATACTCAATCAAAGATACATAAATACTAAAATACCAACATTATTAACTAAATTGCTTGGTTTACCAATTACAATAGCTCTTTGTATGTTTATACTTCTCAACTCAAATTATAAGTTCATCTCAACAGTGAAAAACTCATTCTCAACTCAAATTACTGTTAACTTATAAGTTATTGTTAAGTTTAAGTTAACAATAAACTTAAACTTATGTTTACTGTTAACTAAAATATTGTTAACTTAAGTTTACTGTTTACTTAAACTTAAGTTTACCATCAACAAAAAACTTAATATTAACTTAAACTTAAGCTTAAACTTAAGTTTACTGTTAGCTTAAACTTAAACTTAAACTTAAGTTTACTGTTAACTTACACTTCTTAAGTTTAAATTACTATTGTTAACTAACTTAAATAGATATTTAAGAAGTACTATTTACCTTGTTAGTAGTTACAGATATCGGGGAGCTCGATAATGTTACAGAAGGCGCTAGGCAGACTAGGCGTTTGAGTGAGTACCTAGCGCCTAGACCCCTGAACGTACGCCTAGACAGCGCCTAGGCGTTCGACTATTTTTAAATTATTTAATTATAATAATTGATAAAAATATGTATTAAATTCATATAAATTTTTAAAAAATATAATAATTTTAGTTCCACAATAAATCATGCATACTTAGATACTAAATAGCCAAAATAATAATTAACAAGGGTAAAGCCTAAGATGTTTTTTTTATTTTTAATTATAATAATTGATAGTGAATATCAATGTTATAGAAAGCTTAGATGTTGGACTGGTGTCTAGGCGGATTTCTTTCTTCATAAGTGGTGGTCGATGAGGTTTTGTTGAAGGTCGGAGGAGGTAGTGGAGGTGTTCATATTTGAAGGTTAATGGAGTTTGGAGGACATGTAGGCTACAACACATAAAATCACAACCAAGGCCTACAGGGTGCAATCCACGTAAGCATGCAATGCTCCCCTAAACGCTCGTAAAATCTAGGTGGGCAGCCTAAATACCACCTAGACGTTAAACGATAGTTAGGCGGCCTAGGTACCGCCTAGGCCTAGACGAACGCCTAAGCGGACTAGGCGGGGGTTTTTTAAAACAATGCTGATGGAGAAAGAAAACACAGCTGAAAATGAATGTTGGGATAAACAACTCTCTAAACAGTGCCTGCCAAATATCCCTGGCCAAGGAAACAATAACAAGAGAAGGGATTGTCAGACTACTACCAAAAGACCAGTTAGTGACTCCAAATTGCCCTA